TTGTGATTGAGGACGCGGGCTCAGCCTCAGTCGAGTTGCCAGATATACGCATTATAAGCGTCTATGGAATTTTTTCCCGGAGTGTCTATTTACACTACGTGCAAATAGCCCGCCTTGTTGATAGAGGCTATTTACAGTAGCTCAACCCACAAATGTGTTATAGGGATACTCAGCACTATAAAAGACGGCGCTTAATCGTTAGTTTCAGTGGCGTAGATGGTAAAGCGCGCACCGTGGTCTTTTTGACGCGATCGACGCGGGTTCTCATATCATATATGTATGTATACATGTATATATATGTATGTATATATATATGTATATATATATGTGTATGTGTGTGTATAAGAATAAAAGCAATCAAGTAGCTCAGTTTTGCTACATACTGTAGTTTTTGTTACATATTGATTACATATATGAAGATATTAAAATATTATTTAAAATCTTTAAAATATGATGTTTTATATATAAAATAATTATATAATTATATATAATTTAATATATGTCTTAATGTATGTGTATATTTAATTTTATTATATTATTAAATTATGAAAAAAATTATATTTCCACTCATTAAGTAAAACAAAAACGTGCTGCTGTATATAAAAATACTTTGTAAATATTTAATTTTTCTTAATTTTATAATAAGAAATGTATATATGTGTATACGTGTGTGTGTGTGTGTGTGTACACAAACACACAATTGTATATTAAATTATGGAAATTAAATTATGTAACTATAGATTTATGTTTAACATATTTCCTCTTCTCTTTTAAGTATTTTTTAATTTCAGAATTCTGCAATATTACATTTATATTAAAATAAATATATATTAAATAATTATGTATATAGATATTAGATTATAATTTTCTCACTCCCTTTCAGCCCGACCCCAACTTTATAACTTCTGTTCTAATGCAAGCATGTCAGTTGAGCTTCCTCAGAGATTGTCATATAGCTGTGCTTGTTTAGACACATAGAGCTGCATGTTTAAAGAAGCCTTAACTCAAATAACCCATCGGTTTTCCCTCTGAACGCAGGTTCACCCCCTCCAGCCACAGAGGCATGGAGGAACGCCCGGCGTACGGGAGCGTGCCGCGACTCAACGAGCAGCTGTCCCATCACAGCAGCCTTCACCGCCTCGACAGCCAGTCCAGACACGGCAGCGCCCGAGACCTGAGCGACGCACCGGCCGCCAGCATCACGCACGGATCCAGTGTGAACCGCCTGGCAGAGGAGGATGGGACGAGTGCGTAACCCAGAGACTGACCTGGGAGAGTCCCTGTCATGTAGCCGCTAACGGACAGACATGTGTTTTTGGCAGCAGCAGGGGAATCAGAAACTCGAGGCATGTGTGTTGACAGAGCCGTCCTCGGGATTTGTCCCATTAGTGGCGCACCTGAGTAACAAGATATGTTTTCTTAGATACTGTGAAGTTCTGCCGGATGAAGTTTACTGCTTGTGTGATAAAGCAGCGTCAGGATGGGCCGCAGCTGTCTGATGGGGGATTTTTCCCATTACATCCATCACACAACCCGGTTTAAAGAGTTAATGGATCACCGACGCTTCAAGACTGATGACTGTCCCATTAGAGATCAGGTTTCAAACCCTTGAAAGCCGAAGGATGGTTCAAAGAGAGGGAGGATCAGCGGTTTTGTGCCTCTAGCAAGCTGTATTTAGTTTCTGGTGGTAGTTTGGTTGAGAAGGCATGGAGGAATGACGTACCAGAATCCTCACCAACACCTGATGTGCTTTTTGTTCGGCCGCTTGACGGCTGCCTACCTCATCACATCAGATCGCTCTGCCCTCCCCACTCATGTCACATTACAGAGTTAAGATTAAGTTGTCTTTCAGAACATCATCTTACACGCAGATGCTTTTCCGCCCATGTGTACAGGAGTCTTAAGCTTTGTAAATGGTGCTTTTTTTCTAATGTTGCTTCATGAATATTTCAGCAGGCCGTTTCTACAAGCTCATGCACCATGTTAATGGAACATAGAAACGTGTTGAATTTTCATGAATCCTGCTGTTTCACGACGCTTTAAAAGTGAAGTCGAGTGTTTGTTTACGTGTTGGATGAGATTACAGTGGTACTCAGTGCCTAAACATGTGACTTTGGACCTGAGCTTTGTAAAAGCTGTTTTTTCTGATCGCTGTTACTGCTTCTGCTGTACCTTTGCCTTCGGTTTCCCAGAGTACACTTGATTTTCATGCTTGACTCTTCTGTCCACTTTACTAATGAGGAACAATATAGCACTTTAACCGTGGCTATCTGTTGAATGTGTAGACATTAAATCCAGTCATAGCGTCATGCAAGATTTCAAATAAAGCTTTTGTAAAAAAAAAATAAAATAAAAAAAGAAATGTTATAGTTCCCAATTTTATTGAAATAGTCCGATAATGAGCTTTCCATGTGAAAAGTGGTGTCCAAACCAATACAAATAACAGTACTCCACTTTAAATACACTTGTGCAAAAAAAGAAATAAGAAAAGGTCTACATTGCAGTATGGGGTAATTCATGTTCACGTCCCAACCATTCACGCCACACAGGTCAATAAAGTACAATAAAAATACAACAAAACAATCCAGCCATACAGTCCTTAAACAAGTGATTACATCTATGACATGCAAATCTGTACATAGTCTTACAAAAATCAAAATCAAGAAGAAATTATATGATATTTAGCAATTCACTAACAAGGCAAATGAAATCCTCATGTGAAATGCAAGTGTGAATGTGTCTTTTAACAAATCTCCAGTCATCATCTCTCATTCTAGTCCATTCTACCTACACTGACCAGTTCACACTGAGATCTAAGAAAACTAAGGCACCTCCCGCTCTAATATGAATCTATTCATTGCTAAGTAACAGTTCTAAAGATCAAACGACCCAAAGATCTGGACATCTGTCATTTCTACTATCTCGATTCTCCTCCATGCAAACATTTAATCGTTGGTTCTGACATACCTGAGAACATTTCAAACAGGTTTCCTGTTCATGTTAATACCATAACCCTGGCAAATTGTTTCTAACCCGTTACAGCCTTATTAGAAAAAAACCTGTATTATGAATATTATTTTTTTGTTGGGAATTAACCATGATCATGGAATAGAACAAATGCTTAACTAAGGTCCCGAGTGATATCTGAGCTCGATTTAAAAACAATGTGCCGGGTTTGCTCCACAGTGAAGGTTTCAATAGTGCTTGCATATAATGGAACATACAAAATGCTGGCAATACTAGAACGAATAAAACCACAGCTACATATGCACAAACTTTCATTACTTCTGTACTTGGGTGTGCTTCAATACTGAAAGGTCATTAATTTTTTCAGCATACTTTAAAAAGAATAGTTCACTCAAAAATAAAAAATTCTGTCATTCCAAACCCATGACTTACTCTTGTTATCATATTTTATATTATATTTTTATGCAGCATTTTCAGCAATATTTAATGCTTTTAATTTCAAGTAACATTTGCTTTTGTTTAAAAAAAAAAAAAAAACGGGCTGGGTAGATTACTTACAAAGTGTAGTCCATTACTGAATCCAAATTACATGATGAAAAATTATCCATTACATTACGCATTTTAGCGAATATAATCTGACTACTTTTAGCCTAACTTTATAGGACAAAGTAAGCTATAAAGGTTTGCAACAACATAAGGGTGAGTAAATGTACATTTTGATTTTTGAGTGAGCTATTCCTAAAAACAATCTGGAATATTTAGGAATTCAGAACAGCATCTAGATATACAAGAGTCTGAATCTGCATAATGTGTTTTAAAGAAATCAAATCTGATATAAATATGCTTCGCAAAAGCGAGCAGTAGTGCATGTGAATAATTCCTAAATGCCAATTAGTGTATGAAACCGGACAGAGGGACAGCTACAATTGTTGCGCTGATGAGGTTCTGTTGGAGTCGTAATGGCTTTGCTCTCTAATCTGAGGTATTCTGAGGTTCAGGGATGTTTGATAGTCTGACCCTGCATGTTTAAAACACCACTACAGCAGCTTTACTGTACGTCCTCGATTAATTTATATTAATATCAAATGACCTAATCTCCTGCTGGTCCTCGGGGTCCCTGTTGAGTCATTATGAGTGTTAGAGGAAGAGGCAACAGCTATATGCACAAGTGAGTTTGAAGCGTTGAAGCCCTTTAAATGCTTCACCTGATGAGTTTAGGGTTTCTCCATGTCGCACAAACATTAAAAGCTCTGAATCTAGTGGTCCAGGTTACACTACGCGTTATATTCACATGTATACACCTTAGGCAAAGTTTGGTTCTTGTGAGTTGGAAAACAAAACTATAAAACACAAATTAAAATACTAAAAGAATAATAATTAACATTAATATTTAAAGAAAACAACCTCTTTGGAAACAGCATTATTGCTTTGGTAACAGAAGCGTGAAGCACAGATGTAGGCAAGAGTAACATGAACAAGGCTGCAGTGAATGTTACATTCAGCACAACAGCTTATTTATGATCACATGACTGTACGCATTTTGAGTGTTTAATATGGATTTAGCAATGTATGCATCTTGATTTCTCTGAATGATAGATCTTGCTCACAATATGCAACAACGTTCATGAAACACGAGGAGGCTGCATTCATGTAAATCGTTCTTAGAAAACATTCTTGCGTCAGTTTTGTTAAATGTTAAATATTGCTTGATTTAAAATTCCATTCAACGATGCACTAAATTTAAGACTGCCGCCCTCGTGAATGTCGTATTTAATGCAAGTGTACACAAGAATGTTTTTTACAAACATTTTCACTGTAGCTTTCTCTATCTCACATTCCATGCAATTCACAAACAATTCACTCAAGAATTATTTCAAACAATTTTATGATAGTCTTGTTCAAACGACAATTTATGTATGATTGATTTGAGATAAATTTCACTGTGGAGACCTTGTGGCGAAATGTAATGGCAACCTTGTGAAGCTTGTATTGAATGCAACAATTTATGCAAGAATGGTTTTATAAAATTTTATTGCGAGTTGTGAATCTTATATTTAATGCGACAATTTATGCAAGAACGGTTTTATAAAATTTTATTGCGAGTTGTGAATCTTGCATTTAATGCGACAATTTATGCAAGAATTGTTTTATAAAATTTTATTGCAAGCTTGTGAATCTTGCATTTAATGCGGCAATTTACGCAAGAAAGGTTTTAGAAACTTTTATTGCGAGCTTGTAAATCTGGCATTCAATGCGACAATTTACAAGAATTGTTTTATGAACAATTCGCTGTGGCCTTATGTACCTTGCTTTCAGTTCAAGAATATACAAACCGATTTTATGAATGTGAATGTTTAATGCAACAATTTACACATCAATGTTTTTATGAACAATTTCACTGCAAGCTTGTTTACGTCATATTCGATGGAAAATTGTACATAAGAATGGCTTTACGAACAATTTACACAAAAACTATTCTTGTGTTTTATGAATGAGGCCCAATTTTTTTATGTAGTGTTCCCTTGCAAGTCTTGACAATTTTAGTGGAATTATGAAAAACTAGCATATATCTTGACAAAATAATGCTTAAATTGACATTTCTGCATAATTGACTAGAACCTTGACACGGAAAATAAAAAGGAAAGAAGACTCTCTCAAAGCCAAGTCACTTATTTAACAACAGAATAGTGTTGATTTCATTATATATTATACTCTACTTAAATTCTATTTACATTATTGAACTCAGAATCAATTCTTGAACTCTGACCTCTGACTGTGAAGGTCAGCATGGCACTGGAGGGTAGAGGCTGAGTTATACAGTAGTGCCACTCTATCTATTGGGGCTGAACTCAATTGAAGTGTTCATGTTTTATCACATGGATTGGAATGCCAGGAACAGTTTTCCATGATCCTCGATGAATGTTTTCATGATGTTTAGTGTTATGCGTTTAAAGTAACATCCCCCCCATTAAGACTTTTGAATGCATATTTTTTCTTGTGTTAGATGAGGCACACTTGTCAACAAACACTGATAAATTCGCGTTAAAGCTCTGTGTTTGTCATTTTCGACCCCGTCCACACCGGTGGTGGTAGGTGATAAGCTACACTCAGTGGTCTGTTCCCCCATCCAACACAGGAACAGGAACAGTGGTGATGGGTCCACTCAAAAGGGATGTAAGGTGCACAGTAATGTGCGTGTGTACAACAATCACACGTGTAATGCATATGCACACCAATACACGCAAACACACACACACACCTGGGCCCAGCGGCGTGTTTAGGAATATGATGTATAAGGAGTCGGCTCTCGGTCTCGGGTATATGCGTGACTTTCTCGGGGCCCCACAGGAAGTCAGAAGGAAGTGGGCAGGGGCAGAGCTCATGTCTCCCAGCCCAGGTGCTCACCACGCTCCAGAGACCGAGTCTTGCTCTTGTGTGGTGATGAAGGGCTCGGTGGGCTGCTCAGGTTGGAGCTGTTGGAGGCCGTGGAGTGACGTGGAGAGTCTGAGTCCTAAAGAAAGGAGAAGAGGGAAAAGTTAGTGACGAAGCTTTGTTTTAATTCTGTAGATTTTAAGTTTTCTTGGCTATTTTGGTCAAACATCAGTCTTCTCAGGCCAAAACTAATCCATGATGTGCTTATAAGCATGTTAAATAGAGATGTTCAAAACGACATTTTCAAAGTGAGTGAATTGTCAATGACAAGATGGAAGCTTGTATGGGGTCATGTGACCAGACACACATATGAGTAATTAGAATAAATACAGTTCAAAAGTTTTAAGTTAGCAAGATTTTTTGAAAGAAAGAAATCAATAGTTTTATTTAGTAAATAGGGTGCATTAAATTGATTGAAAGTGAGAGTAAAATTTTACAATGTTACAAAAAAACAATGCTGTTGTTTTCTTTCTATTCATATTTTTCAGAATCTTGAAAATCCTAAAGTCCTGAAATGCGTCAGTTTCCACAAAAATATTAAAGCAGCACAACAGGTTTCAACATTAGTAATAAGAAATGCTTCTTGAGCAGCAAATCAGCACATCATAATGATTAGAATGATCATGAGACACTGAAGACTGGAGTAATGATGCTGAAAATTCAGCTTTTGCAACATAGAAATAAATGACAATTTACAATATATTAAAATGGAAAAGTTATTTTAAATTGTATAAAAATTTCAGAAAATTACTGTTTTTACTGTATTTTTGATGAAACACATACAGCATAAGATACTTCTTTCAAAAACATTAAGAAATAATAATAAAAAAAACTTATAATAAAATAATAATAAAAGAAAAAGTGGTTTCTGCATAATATCGGGGACATTGCTCACTTCAAAAGATTTGATGTCCAACGGTAACTTGCCTTGAAATGTATTATTGAAGGTGCTGAATTCATTACAAGTATTGCTTTGAAGGCTGTAGTGACAGTGCTTTAAAGATGAGGAATTTTAAGAAACTTCACTGAGGTGGTGGTACCACGTTAAGTCTCACTGGTCTGCTATATCCAGTTAAAACCTCTATGAACCTGTGTCTCTAAATTCTTCTACTAAAAAAAGCAAAACCACTAAAAATATTAATACACAAAGAAAAAAAAATCAAATACTCAACATCACTAATTTCCTAGTTAGCTGTAGCTGTGACAATTTTGGTCCATCTGTAATATTCAAAGATAAATGTTGTAACTGTGGTATAAATATTCAAAAGTTAGAACTAGAGACCAAATTACTAGGGCTGTCAGTCGATTAAAATTTTGAATCTAATTAATTACAGGGTGCTGCGCAAACTAAATATGGCTGTGAAAATACCCCCAAAAGATAATTTAAATTAAAATTCTATTATTGTTTTAAATGTTTAGGCTACAGTGGCCTAACATAAAGTATGGAACATAAAAGAAAATAATTTGAGAAACATCTCAGTATTTTTTGTTCATGCAATGAAAGTCACTGGTGACCAAAACAGCTTAGTTACCAACAGTATTCAAAATACCTTCTTTTATGTTGTGCAAAAGAAAGTAAGTCATTCAAGTTTGAAACAACATGAGGGTGAGTAAATTATGACAGAATTTATATATATTTTTTTTTAATAAATGAAATTATACCCTAAAGAAGAAACTAAAACTACCAGCAGGTGGCGGTAAATGTCTTTATGAGTCGATTCGTTAAAACAGCTGATTCATTCAGGAATTACGTAAACGGCTCTGTTTAGTGAATGGGCTTTTGAATCATTGGTTCACACGATTCGTTCAAAACGCGGATTCATTCAGAAACTAAACATCGCTGTGTTGCTCGGAGATGCACAGCAGTTCTGCTGTGGCTTTATAGGTAATATTTTCGTTGGCAAAATTGAACAAAAACACAATATTGTGTCTAAAATATAGCACAATATTAACTTCTTATTTACTGAAGTGTTGTAAAAAATCACACTTGCACGTGTTCTTCGTGACAAAAACAGCACTCCTGTGATATTGCACTCGTTGCTGGTGTGATATGCTTATCATATGATATAAAAATGAGACAAAAACTCATACAGGGGCATTTTTTGCCCCAAAATCTTGAATTTTAGGGCATAACTGCATTTAAGGAGTTGTTGTCCTGAATCATATTGTCAACAGTCAACTGTATGAAATGTAAGATGACGTACCGGTCTGGGGGCGGGGTCAGTGTGTTAACTGCATTAAAATATTTTAATCGCATTATTTTTCATAACTAATTAACTAAGTTAACATGTTAAACTCACAGACATACAACTTACCTATCAAAATTACTAAAAATAAGACACTTTACTGCATAAAGTATGCATACTGCATACTTAAAATTTACTAAAACCGTATCTGAAAATATTCATCCATTTCCTTAGCTGTTGGCACATTTATTGGTTGACGTGATCATCTCTAAATACCCAAACAGCAGCCCATTAAATGGTCTATTACTAGCTTGAACCACCACAACATCAATCCTCCTCTACATAATATAAAGTGGATGGATAAAAGGTGCTACGTGACACATTAATGCTATTACTAAAGCTAGCAAACGCTGTACAATTCCACCACCTACACAGATCAAACACGCTTTTAACAAGGAGACAACTCAACTAACCCATTTCCTTCATCTGAGGTCTATGACGGAGCTACAGGGTTCAGATCTGGGGGAGCAGGATCATGTATGTTACCTTTAGCTTACTAAGCAGTGTCCTTAAAGCCCTTTTCAGATCAGGAGTCTTCTCTGTGGGTGACACTCCTGGACACTAAAGAGTCACACACAGCACCCACACGTCATTATGGAGTCAATGTGCTCACAGTCAAACGTGGGGCTGAGATGCAGACTGCGTGTGTGTGTGCGTGTGTGTGTGTGTGTGTGTGTGTAGGAGGAGTGTTAGCAGGTCAACACCGCAATCTGTGGATATGGTGTCACTTCACACACTCAACACATGCATATAGCGTGAGAAAGAGAGGATAGAGACCCTCCAAACAAATTTTGGCAGGTGAAACAGAAAGGATGCCTGTGTACTGGAATTGTATAACACACTTCTAGTGCTCTCTGTGAAGTTTTAGCAGTGATCAGCATCACAGAGAGCTCCAGGAGTGAAACTTTTACCTGCTTTGATCAGTCTGGAGGTCGAATGAACATGTTAAATCAACATTCACAAAAAGAACACTAAAATACACCTTTTGAAATCCCACCGGACTTGTCATTTGTAAAATCGAAACATTTCCACGTGACTACAGATCTAAGCAGTATTTATTTTATCCATAGAGAACCATATTTTTTAGCAATAAACAAGTCTAGCTTTTCAAATACATTAAGGTATTTTTAAAAATGTTTTCTGTTTTTTTAAATCCCTTTCAGAAACAAAGGCATCTGGAAAAGCGGGCACTGACAATCGTTGCTGGCACTGACTTCTCTGTCAAATTGGGACAGGGGAGCGTCACCCCCGCAGTCCAAGCCTCCTCCGGATGACAGCGAGCCATCAGAAGGTGACGTCATCTGCCGTTTGGTGGAACCGTAGCTGCCAACGTAAAGGTCCCGTCTCAGTGCACTGCCATTTTGAGAAGAGGAGCCTGGGATATGGAACAGACACTGACTTAAATTTGAGAACCTGAAAAGTTCGAACAACACTATGTCTGGCCCAATGTCAATCAATGCAAAATTTGAAAGTTCAAAAGAACATCTGAAAGTTCAAAAAGAGCATTCGAAAGTTCAAAAGAATGTTTGAAAATTCAAAAAGAATGTTTTAAAGTTAGAACATTAAAAAAAAAAAAAAAAAAGTTTGGAAGTTCAAAAGACAATTTGAAAATTCTAAATACAGTCTGAAAATTCAAAAGTTTGAAATTTCAAGAGCGAACATTTAAAAAAAAAAAAAGTTTAAAATAAGTTCAAAAGGAAATGAAACAGAACTTAGTTTTGTCAGTTCTTCATTAGCTGTTCTACATTCAGATGCCCCTTAACAACAAAATGACCTGTCTGACCACATGTACATGTCACTTATAATTTACTTTCAAATTATATTATAAATGTACCCCCAAATTGAGTTTTAGGGATATGTCCTATAAAACAGGCACTCTGTCCAATTTAACTGTTTTCTTCCCCTCTTAAAAAATGTCCATTTTTCTACTAATGTAATTATTTCCTTACATTTTTTTTCTTCAGCAGTACTCATTCTCACCCCTATATCTCTGTCTATGAACAGATATTTCAGTACTCACGTGTGCCCAGGCCGCTGCTGGCACTCATAGATCGTCCCGGTTCAGGCCTGGCCTTGCTGATGGAGGGGATACTGACGGATGCTCCCAGGACACCTCGGCTCTCCTGAGGACGCACATTCTGAGCAACAAAAACACAGTCAGAAAAAACCTCTTACATTACATATTACTGAAATAAGACAATCAATAAATTCACAAAGCAGGGGTAAAAAATTTACCAGTGTCACTGTACATGATCTTAAATTATATAGCGAGGGGAAAATGAAATCATTTTCTCACTTAGTTTTTGAATTATCTACATAAAACAAGCAGAATACACAATACTTCGTTCCCATGTATGAAACCCCATGAAAAAATAAACTGGGGTAGCTTATAAACCATGTCTGTTAGCTTTGAGGTCATACTGGCTATTTAATATTATTAATATTTCATATAAATATTAATATATATATATATATATATATATATATATATATATACAAAATATTTTTTATATTTCATATATATATAAATATATATATATATATATATATATATATATATATATACTAATATCCATATTATTTATATTAACAATATAAATTATATTAATAAAATATAAAAAAAAAAAGTATAATAATGCTTAAAAATAAAAAAATGAAGGGAGGGATGATTTAGCATGCAAGAATCAGACAGATTGTAAATTGAGAATATTACATGTAACTGTGACGCAGGCAGATAATTGGAACATAGATTTGTTTAAACAATATGAAAGTGAGCTAATGCGTGTGGGTATAAATTCATCCTCTTCAGAGAACAGATGGAGTGTGTCTGTGTATGTCTCTCTGGTCCTACCAGAGAGCAGATGGAGGCAGGGGTCCCAGGGGCGGAGCTGAGGGACAGGGAGTGGGAGGAGAGAGGGGAGGAGTCCTGGGACAGGAAGTTGTCAGCAGAGGTGACAGTCATGTGATAGACATGCTCAAAGCTTGTAGGGGTGGAGATGAGGCGCAGATGAGGAGAGGGGAGAGGAGAACCGGGCTACAGCGGAAACCCAGGAGGAGCAGATATAGAGAGAGAAATGGAGGAAAAAGAAAGAAAAAATATAGATGCATGCAACAGTTTTCTGCTCAGTAATGGTGTAAATAAGAAGAGGAAGAGGTGAGGTCATTTAAAAGACAACATGAAAACCAAATTGACCCTATTTCATAAATGTGGGTTATTCTAAAGGAAATAAAATTGCAATAACTTCTTGACCTGTGGAACTTCACATTAAAAAAGTCAAATGTGGTTTTATGTTGTCTTTTAAGCAAGCTCATCTATAAAACGCAAATAATAACAGTGAACATAATTAACAAAAGATGGCTCATGCTCATTAAAACAGCTCTTAGAAACAGATGGATGGAGGCGTAGAGAAGCGGGAGAAGAATATGAGAGGTGACGTTCTCCCTGCTGTTAGCTGCTCCTACCATTGGCAGATCTTTCAGGATCTGGATCCCGTCTCCCGGGCCCATATGAACCACATGGTTGAAGTTTGTTGGGTTGGAAATTAACTTATTCCTCATTTCTGGGTCTCTCAGCATCTCCCTAAAGAGCATAAACAATGCAGTGAGACCCACAGCACTGTCTCAAGAATAGAATTCAAGAAAAATTGAAACATGAAACTTGGATTACAATCAAGGCCCTTTCACACTGTACTGAAACGTGAGCTATCAAACTGTCTCAGTGTTTACCTCTTTAAATAGTCATATGATTTTCACAGAAACTTTTGCATGGTGTTTAGTCGCAAGGAATTGAAACTGTAATCATTTTAATTCCTTTATTTGCTTTTCTATGGGATTACATTTCTGCCACAATTCTGCGCGCGAAAGATCATATTTTGAGCGCGCAAAAGTGCGTTTTGCATGCGCGCGAACTGAGTTTTGTGGAGAAAATGTTTGTCTCACAAAGAATAATGTATTTCGAGCGCACGAAAATCAATTTAGCATTTAAAATAAGTTTTTGGATGTGTGCATACCTTCTCTTTTACACGTGCAACGGTTCACTAGCTTGCTCTCTTGATGCCCGCCCTCAGTGCTCTCTAAATGCCAACAGCTCGCGTGCTCAACACAACCCAGCGTTACAATATGCCATAATTCCAGCCAATCAGTGACGAGGCTGCTAAATTCTGATTGGCTGCCTTGACAACCAATCACAACATTCCTTGCATTACCTCGACAGCAGAAGAGGAAAAATAGAGTGCATGCATAATTATTATGCAAGTTGATATTCTGATTATATTTTTTTCCAAGCACACTTTACCAATTCCAAACGACATCAATCTTAATAACTACTATTAATCTTGTATTTAATAATTTATAATTGATATATAATTATTCATGAAGGCTGGAAGTGAAAAATGTCTTATATTCAGGTGTGCATAATTAAGCAGATTTTCTTTTACAGATAAAATGAGCCAAGAAAGAGATTTAACTCAGACGGAAAGTCAAAAATTATTAATTGCCCATGAGAAATATTCAAAACGCAAAATTGATTTTCGTGCGCTCTAAATACTTTTTTCTTTGCGAAACGAACGTTTTCTCCACAAAACTCAGATCGCGCGTGTGCAAAATGCACTTTTGTGCGCTCAAAATATGATCTTTCGCGCGCAGAATTGTGGCAGAGATCTAAGCCTATACTTTTCTAGGTTTCAGGTGTTTTTAAACAGCCAGAACAAACTTGTATGACATTTTTCACACATAAACTTGTTATTCATAGCGTAACAGGGCTACACTTTAAAAACTGACATTGTGATATTTTGTTTTTCTCTGATACATATCGCTATTTAAAAAAAAAAACTGGAATTTTAAGCAGATTAATCGAATAGCTAGATTTAGAATGAATTAATAATTTTAGGGTTAGGGTGATTTTGTTAAATTTTATTTTTATTTTATTTAATTATTTTATTTAGTTCATATTTGGGTTTACTGTTTACAATAACCATATCAAACCTAACAATTTCAGAGTTAAAAAAAAAAATCTGAAAATACTCTTTCCACTTGAGTTTTCATAGGCCACATTTCCACTGTTATTGTGATTACTGATTATAATATTTAGATTGCAGTATTATTTAATTAAAATAATTAATTAAAATAATATTAATAATATATTAAAACAATAAATATATAATAATACTGTAAAAAACATGTAAAAAAAATAATAAAGTTTCATTTTACAGTAAAATAAAAAAAATATATATATATTTACGTCTTAATTTCTCGTTTTTTTTTTTTTAATGGTAAACCATCAAACTTTATTTTGATGGGTTGCTGTTCTCAGATGCTGAAACACTATCATGAACTACATGCGTATAAATGCTGCACTTTACAGTGAAATCAGTAAACATATTTATTTAATATATTTACTGAAGCATATATTTATTTAATTAATGAAGATGGGCTGCACGATATATTGAAATAAAATTGATTTTGTCATATGGCTTAATGCCATTGTCAAATTCCTGTGATTTATTAATTAATTAAATTACTCGCAGCCTGCAAATCAATTTGATTTTGATATATCGTGTAGACTTACTTTGTAAATACGCAAAGAAGAACATGAGCTACATTAAACATTAACTAAATAAAATTATGATTAGTAAAAAGATTAAACTTTATCCCCAGGGTTTAGAATGGTCGAAATTGACAAGTTATCATTAGAAGTCATGATGGTTAGTGTTGTTAGGCTTGAACATCACCTCCTCTGCAGAACTCTCTCCTCCTCCGGCACGCGGAACGAAAAGCGGCGTTTGCTCGTCATACTGCGCACCATCTGTTTGCGGCTGTTATCAGATGTCTCTGGCACCACCAGCTCATCTCCCTCTGCACATCATTACACAGAACACAAAGCATTACACACATTTCACAACAAATTAAACAACAAGCGTCCATTAGGATGTACAACTTTGTTACATCACATATGCATGAGCTGATGCACACTATTCACAAGATGCTGCATATTAAGCCAGTTCTTTACATTGTAACAACAATATGAAATCAAAATGGACCCCATTCTCTTTCTAATAAATGCAAATCATTAAGAAAACAATCTGCATTCAAAATATTATTCAAAATGCATTAGCTTGGTTTTCTCTTTCTCTGAAACAACTTCTCTTTTCCTTTTCTTATCATTTATTTCCTGCTGATTATGCATAAATACGTGGGGTGGGAATATTCAGAACCTGGATGAGCAGCTGTAGGGAGCATCTCACCTGCTGTCTTGTTTTTAAAGTAGATGAGCCGTATGGTCTCCAGCCCCAGCAAGTTTAGAGAGCCATCAGCGTTCAGAGGATGAACCTGCAATGCAGGCAACCCACAGCTCATTAACACACCGCACTTTAATTTACCACCTGCTTCGATGTATATTTTATTTCATAGATATGAAAAACTCTCTCTGGAAGATGTCTGTCTTTCTTATAATGTGTTTTTTTATTTCTAAAGATAAATGAAAAATGTACCCTTTTCAAAGGCATCGTTTGAATCCACTCCATAGTGTTGACGTCAAATACATCCACTGCATTCTCACTATACACTGACAGATAAGGTGCATTATAACCTGCAAGACAAGAGTCACAGAAAACATTGTTAAAAACACTAACCTTAAGTGTGAGAAACACTAATCTTTACAAACACCACTAACTATTAAGCAAGCTTTCCAGGACATTTTCTGCTAATTATGTGCACAACATATGCAAATAAACAATCTTTATGACTGTCATAAACTATGAGCAAGCAATCACAACAATGCGCAAATTCTCAATTTGAGTACCTAGAATATCTAGTGTAAAATCATGATTTTTTTCCCATAAAATCATGTATTATACAGTATATTTCAAATATTTATTATACTATACATTTACTCAACTTTTTTTATTTATTTAGATAAAATATTTAAACTTTACATCAAAACAATCCAGAAATATTACCTTTGCCTACAATTTCTTTTTATTGTTATATATCATTACATTAGACTACACATATATCAAGCTAGATTAAAGTGATTATTACGTTTTGAATATGGATATTTTTCTTACAAAAACGCATCGATTCGCTACAGGACGCCTTTGTTCACCCCCCGGAGCCGTGTGAGGCACTTTTTATTATGGATGCATGCGCTTTATTTCACTTCTTTTGGACTGATGAACTGCAACACCCGCTGACTGGCATTAAACAGCTTGAAAGACCAAAGTCAATTTTTAATATAACTCGGATTGGATTAATCTGAAAGAAGGAAGTCATATACACCTAGGATGGCTTGAGGGTGAGTAAATAATGGGCTAATTTTCATTTTTGGGTGAACTATCCCTTTAATTAACTATACTATATTAGACTACACATATATCAATAATACAGACAGACTTTTTTTAAGCTAAAAGACCATAAGATAAATATATGTCAGAGCATAGTATTAAAATCAGGCTTGTGTAATGTAATCCATCATTTCAAGTGCAGTAATTTCATCCTGAACCTTGTGGATTGGTATTATCATACTGTAAGCAAGTGAACACAAGCCATATTAATCAGTATAGAAACACTGATGGTCACTCACGACATGCGGTGGGCGTAGCCGTCCACATCAGTTCCTGTTGTCGTGACCGTCTGCCCTGACAGTCTACGTACACACCGATACTGCTGAAGCACAAGAGCAGCTCTTTACTAGAGATCTCCACGGCGCAGAGAGCGTCCAGGCTCAGCTGCTCGATGAAGGCCAGGGAGTGATCGTCAGGGTGGAGGAGGTAAGAGGTAGTTCCATCCCCCTGAAGATTATAGTGCAGGAACCCGGACTGGAAGCCCACGCAAAGCTTGTCGCCCTGGAGACCCATCCACTGCACGGATCCCGGGACGAGGATATCACGCAGCTTCCGATGGCGTGTTTTGCTCTTGTTGAGCTCGTAGATCATCACCTTGTCAGGTTTTTTCATGGACACGAAGAGGTACGTGAGAGATCCTTGTCTGATCGTGCCCGAAACCAGAGTTTGGCAGCCTTTGGTCTCCGCTATCTTCTGAAAATCGGCCTCACGGTCATCCAGGGCCGCCATTGGGTAAAGCCGTACATGGCCGTTTCGGCCCGATATCACAGCGATCAACTGTTTGGATGGGATCAACTCAATCTGATGGACCTTCTTATTGTCTCCTACCTTGATAATCTCTGTGAATAAAAACATATAAACAGTAAGTGGCTTTGTATTAACATCAAAGAATGCATTAAGTCACCTATATATACAGTCTAAATGCAGCAGATAAGTACAGTAATTACAGATAAAGCTTATAATTACACTTACCATCTTTGGTAACATGAATAACGTACAACCCCTCCTCATTGCCCAGGGCTATCCTCTCATGATCTGCGGATAAATAGAAACGTAGTTCAAATAAACAGAAAGCAGAGTTTAATAAAGCTAGGCTGGATTGAAATTGACTAGTGCAGACTAGTTTGTAAATTGTTATTTTTTTAAAAGAGGATTTTTCTTACTCTTTTGAAATTCTAACATTCAATGTATTAACATGTATCATGTAATTAATAAAAACAATTCAGACTACCTTTATATATTAGAGCTTTTTTACTGTTTTGTCTTGCTTTTTAAAGAAAAAAAATCAATTACAAAACAACAATTTAAAAATATTTAACACTGAATATTTTTAACATTCTAGCAGACACTATACCAACATTAAATTATACACAATTTAACTTAAAATTAATAAGTTTGTAAAATAAAAATTTTTGGCCATCAGACCCCCTTCTTGAATCAGGCATGTTTTTTTTTTTTTTTTTTTTTTTTTTACAATTAAAAGTTCCGTACCCACTGTATATATACACACACACACACACACACACACATATATACAGTATATATTCTATGATATTGTTCTATGATATAATAATAATAATAATATATAACGAATATAGAATTATATTATATAACAATATAATTCTATAATATAATGAATAAAAATAAATAAATAAATAAACACACACACACAGACTATAAACCCAAGATTATTGGTGCATGAGGTTGACTGTACCTATAATAGCAGCAGACTGTGTGGATTTGATGAGAGGCAGTGCACTGTCATATGCTTCTTTAGGGATGTAAACAAAGCGTTCTTTCAGTTTGCTCTTCTTCAAGAGACGGTGCAGCTCGTTCAGGAGGCCGACCCACTTGGTTCTTTCCTGATCGCTGTCAGCCAGAATCAAGATGGAGCACTTTTTATTGCTGGATTCAGAGAGCTGTGATGCTGTCACCTGCAGGAGAGGAAGAGGAGGACAACTTTAAAATGTATCCCCTTTATTTATTTATTTTTTAATTACAACACAAAACTAATGTTATCAATATAAAGTTGTGTTAAAAAAATAAATAAAAAAATACTCACCCTAAAAATACAGGGAATGTCCTTTCTATTCGCATGAATGACATCTGATTCCAAAACTGAGCTAACAGAAAATTCCTCATCCCTGAAACCAAAAGACAGCGATTTAGCTGTCATGTAAACACAGAAATCAGAATCAAACATAGGCTCAGATGTTTGTTTTGAAGCCCTCACTAACCTCATGTCAATGACCTGGTTCACTATGACACCAGGCTGAGCAGCTTTGCCCTCTGGGAGATCATATAAGAAGAGCTTGAAGTCACAGACTACAGCGATGGCCCTCTGCCATCCCTTCTTCACACCTAATGGTTTGGGTACCTAAACGAAAAGATCTCAGAATTAGTTCTCAACTAATTGGGAACTCCTAATATATATCCAATACAACAGTATTATCTTTCACTGTTTTTTTAATTTTTTTTTTAATTATAAGATGAAGTTATACCTTTCCAACTTATGTCTGGTACATTTTGCAGGCTAAATTTGTATCTGATAATTGTTCATTATGATCACAAAACTTTCATGGGTATTTAAAATGAAGCTTCTAACCTTGACATGGCCCTCATAAGCTGTGCCGATGCCCTTCTGTGGGTCGATACCCAGCGGTCCTTTGGTTTGATCCGGTGGGATAGGACACACGGCAGGAGCTTTGTCCGCACACGTCACGTGACAGGAGAAGTTACAGACTGTAGAAGGAGGAGAACAAGGTGAATGCCAATCTTAACGCTATTTACCATAACCTCAGCCGCTGCTATAGTGACCTCTCACCTTCACACGTACAGCCCTGTCGGATAATTCCCACCATTAGAGACGTACACTGGTTACATTTAGTGGGTGTATTGAAGGTCTTCACCATGAACTGATGGGCTTTTGGCTAAAAAGAGAAATTTAGAACACTATAAATTACAGCGTATCACAGAATATAAGATTTGGCTGATATGAAAGTAGCTAGAATCGTAAAAAAAAAAGGTTCTTTATTGGCATTGATGGTTCTATGAAGAACCTTTAACATTCATAGAACTTTTCCAATGCACAAAAGGTTCTTTACAGTGCAAAAATATTCTTTAGATTATTAAAATGTTCACTGAAAGGTTATTTGGAGAACCCAAATTACTGGTTCTATGGTATCGCAGAAAGAAAAAAAAAACTCATCGATTCCTTTATTTCTAAGAGTGTAGGAGCAAAATAAACAAGTGAATTAATTACTTTAGGTGTGCTGTGACCAGAGCTACTGTATCCAGACCTCATGGGAGTTTGTGCACCTCGTTGTGGCTGATCTACCTGCTGGAAAAACAGTCACGGATATTAGTCACAACATGCTACCATTCTTAAAGTCTCTTTACCTGAATGAATGAATGAATGAATGAATGAAGCTCCGTTCTAAAACCTACTGATCTGCCTATCTAGACAGCCTTATAAGGCATCATAGGCATGATTTTAGCTACACAGTAAGGTGGTATCCCATGCATTTATTGTTGATAAGGCAATCCCAGAATGCACCTCGACAAGCAAAGTGTTAAGTTTCATCCACAATGGCAGTGGAATATACTAAGTTTCTAAGTCATTAAGTTTCAAAACAGAGTCTCAGCATTGCTAAAGGTCGTCAGAATTTGAGAAGTCACCTCTTGAGACTCCATATCACTTGTGGTGGAGGGTGAGCGAGAGTGGGAGGTGACCTGGGATCTTCCATCTTCCTCCCGGGAAGGTGTGTTGGACAGGCTGAAGTTATCGATGGAGTCGATCTATTGAGAAGGTTAGAGAAAGGAAATGCTTAGAGAACCGATCCAACCATACCACAAACACATGAGCAGCAGATGGAAAACACAAGGCATGCCTGCTAAATGTAACACAACAGGCTGTTTGAAAACACATCATGCACATTAGCAGCAATTTGACAGGACAAAGGTTTAAAAACATTTGCCAAGCCCAAACACCATGTCAATGATGGAACAAGAGCCAAGAGCAAAGCATAAATAATCATAAAGGAAATCTGAAACACTGCTGAACACAAACGCCACACGTCTTCTTCACAACAAGATTCACAAGTTTTAGAAACAGCAAATGTGAGTTAGAACTAGAAGTGGAGTCATCGGTTGTGGTATGGAATAAAACCTCCACTGGTAGTGCAAGATGAATAAAACAAAATATTGCATATGTATTATCCACAGAAAGTGACAGTTTGTAGTCCAAATTAGTGGTCGACCGATATGGGTTTTTTGACAGCCGATGCTGATGCCGATATCTTGGAAAGCAGGGTGGCCGATGGCCGATATAAAGCCGATATAATTTTGGTTCATTTTCTTTTATATTTAAGAAATTTTAAATCATTTGAAAATGGATTAAAAATAATTGTGTAAAATAAACATGCTTATACTTTAGAAGACAAAGCATTTTTCACAAATAAATAAATATTTAATAAAAATCTAATTATAAAGGAAGTAAACACTGTAACCAACAGGGCACTCAGTATTCTGGGAAGTTTGTGTGCATTTGAAATCTTTTTTTCTTTTTCTTTTTCCAAATAAAGCCAAGGTAACACTCATTTTACATACAGCATGCAATGAAAATGACATTAATATGACAGCGGGCAAATGCATAAAGCGCAGCATAATTTGAAATCACGAGTTTAGTTTGTCAATCGCGCATCTCCAGTCAAGCAGAACTCTCCTCCTGTCTGCATTCAATTTGCACGGACCGACCGTCACGCAGAGAACACGCGATCATGCAGGATACAAATGC